TCCCCTCCCCATCTCTCTGTTCCCCCCTCTTTCTCCCCCTTTCCCATCTCTATGTCCCCCCTCTTTCTCCCCCCTCCCCATCTCTCCCCTCTCTTTCTCCCCCCTCCCCATCTCTCCCCCCTCTTACTAGTCAGAGGGGGGCGGCCGTTTCATGTTAGAGCCGCCGGACCGGGTGGCAGCCTCGCCGGTCCGGCGGCATTCCGCTCACTAACACTGAAGAAGAAGGAGGAGGAGGAGCATGTGTCGGTCATGCTCCTTTGCGGTTCCCACATCCTGTGCTGGGAATTGTGGGAACCGCAGGGAGCATGACACACATGCTCCTCCTCCTCCTTCCTCTTCAGTGTTAGTGAGAGGAATGCCACCCGGTCCGGCGGCTCTAACATGAAACGGCCGCCCCCCCCTCACAGTGTGCCACCGGACTGGCCACCCGGTGGCACCTGCAGTCCCCCCCCAATCCAGCCCTGCCGCCGGGCCCCCTGAAGGCGGCCCTGGCGGCGGGCCCCCCTCCCGGCCGGGCCCTCGGACCGTGTCCGAAGTGCCCGACCGGTCAGTCCGCCCCTGGTCCCAAACCAGGAATCTGAACAGAATTTCCAGCTTTTTGTTTGGAAATAACCTTGCTGCAATCATATTAAGAAAAATGGGAAGTTCTTTGGGGAGATCTGAAGTTTATGAGAGTCAGATGTGTATATAAAAAAATGCAAACATGTCTCAGCACCGGAGTTTTGGGAAGGACATTGGTTCTACAGTGTGACGGACCCGCTGGCACTCCGACCGAGTACCTCCGTCAATCGATGCTCCTAGTGCTTGCTGAGGACTCCAAGCAATCCAACCGACACCATCAGCACTGCAGACTTATCCCATCCCCCAAGCATGAGCCAAGGCTTCAAGAAAGGGTCAGGCAGGTCTGTTTAATGAGCACACAAAGCAACAGCACTCATGCAGCAAAACAACTCCTCCTCAGAGGAAAACAAACTGACAGTTAAAAAGGGTCAGACAGAGTTTGAAAATATGACAGTTATTAAGGGTTTAAACTGGTGTTCTAAGAGGGGAGAGGGGAATAAAACAGTCAAACTAAGTCCATAAAACAGGGGTTTTCTTCACACTCTGCATCCAAAGTGCAGAGCAAAACTGCAGATCCTTTGTCAGAGCATTTAAAGGGTCAGAACCAGTCTAATAAAATCCACTATGCGTTTTTAAAGGGCAAAATCTTCCAGGGACCATAGTCGCAGGGTAGGAGGCTGGCAATTAGTCCTCTCCAGGTACAAGTGATGAAGGGCACTTCGTCACATACAGGAAAGCATATGTTATTTATTGAAAGTACATTTGTAATACTTTTTTTCAGACTATGGCTATATTTCAGCAGTACATTTTGGCAAAGAATATGTTAATATCTTTAAAACCAACTTTGACTTTTCCACAACCTTTTTCTCACTTTGTTCTCTGTCCTTCTGTCCGATGTTGATAAAACATCATTAAAAACAATATATTTGCAAATGGTATGCAAATATAGCTCACCTTGTTTTCCTCACTTTACACTTGTAAATTAATTTATATGTTCTCAAACACTCAGGACTGCACTATAAATAGGGTTACAAAATCCATCACTGCTTTCTTTCCTTTCATTGACATTGCAGGTTTGATGACTTTGTCTCAAATAAAATCACAGAAAAATATTTCACTGGTGCAGAAAAAGTAAAGAAAATTATTAGGTTAGTTAACTAAATGTCATAATTCTAATCAGAATAGCTATTTTCTTGTTAACTAAAACAAATTCCAGCCAGAATCGAGCCAACCCAACCGAATCTGCATTAGTTTGCAAGATGCATTAGGTGTCCAGTTTGACATCAGTGTTGTTCGCGGCCGAACCCTATACAAAGTATAGAGTCCAGAGTATTTATCAAGCATGGATTTTAAAATGGGATCAAATGCATCCAACAACATGTATGCTCGCAGGTTTTAAGTATCACTAGAGATGTTACTAAGCAGTAGCATCTCCAGGATTCATATTTAGGGGGAGCACATGAGGGGCCAGGGACAAAAGTAGGAGGGCAGTTATAAAACTGTATATATGTGTGTGAGTATATATCTATATACATAGTTATATACAGTTATATACACACACATACATACACAGGGCTTGACAAATCACAGGCGCCAGGGGGGGAACAAGTTCACTGATACATACACGCTTGCTACAGACAAGCTCACTGACACACACAAGCTATCTATGTACAAGCTCACTGATACACAAACACACTAGAGACAAGCTCACTAACACACATGCTCACTACAGATAAGCTCACTGACATACATGTTCACTACAGACAAGCTCACTAACACACACAAACTCACTACAGACAAGCTCACTGACACATACAAGCTCACTACAGACAAGCCCACTGACACACATGCTCACTGCAGACTAGTTCACTGAAACACACACAAGCTCCCTACAGACAAGCTCACTGACACACACACAAGCTCACTCGGTAGCAGGCACATACACATACAAGATCACTCTGTCATACTAAATATTATAAGCCTACCTGGCACTGGAGGCTGTGGCAGAACTGGGAGGCCATTTTCATGCCTCTTTCTGCATCAAGGTCCTCTGCTAGAGAGTGGGGCGGAGCTCCAGGTAGGGGTGGATCTTGCATATAGGGAGGCAATCTTCCATGCAGGGGCAGAGCTTGTGTGACAGGGAAGCTGCTGCACAGTGGCAAAACTACCAAAGAGAGGGCCCTGGTGCAAACATAGTTTTGGGCCCCTAAAAACACATGTGGGGTGGCCCTTAGTGCACGGGCTACTCGATGGGCCCCTGTGTAACCGCAACATTAGCACTGCCTATAGTTCCACCACTGCGCCTTCCTTATTACAGGTAAGACACCTTTTCATGGAAACTGGAAAACCTTTTCAGGAGATGCAAGATAATTTTTCATGGTGTTTAGAAGGGGCTGTGGTGAAGTGTGTGTATATAGGAGTCTGTTTATGGTGGGAGGTCACAAGATGAGAGGTATCTCTCTTGGAGTTCAGACACTTACACAGACTGACCATCACAAACCCTCAGAATGACACCCCCCCCACACACACACAGACTTACCCATACACACACACAGACTCCCCCCCCACAGACTGACACATACACATACACACACGCAGACTGAAGCCCCCCACACCCCCACACACACACAGACTGAAATGCACACACACACACACACACACACACACACACACACACACACTAACTCACACTTACCAGCGGCTGTCTGGATGTCTCATTCCCCCTTGCAGAGCTGGGCTTCCTCTCCTCTGCGCTGCTCTCTGTGATCCTGCAGGAAGTTCATTCCAGCACAGTGCAACCTTTAGCCGCATGTGGGAATTCCACCCACCTCTGTGCACTGCTGCTGCAGCTTGTGAAGGGAGACTCGGTGCTCCGGCTTCAATTTTAATAGGGTGGTGCAAGGGGGGTCCCTCCATGATGTAAGGGGGCCATGTCCCCCTCTGCCCTCCCCCTGTCACACCCCTGTTACTAGGCAATAATGTAAATGTAGCAGAATTAATGTTGTAATACCCTTTTCATTACTTTTGATCGGCAGTCCATACTCCCCATTTGTTTACCGAACCCCCACCTGTGTGGTCCATGGGTTCGCATTGTTTAACAAACAACCACAAATTGCTTGTTAAAGAGAGTGTTTCCCCTGTGTGGCCGCTGTTCATATTACTGAACGTACATGTGCAAACAAATGGCGGCCATTTTGTCTCTCGAACGTGGAAATTTAGGCTCAACCGGTCTTCTTTTGGGGGTTCTCACACGAATGCAGACGAAGGCTCCCCCTGGCTGCTAGGATACGAATGTTCCCCCTGTTCGGTAGTTTAGGTCTCTCGAATGCTGTTCTCCTGCTGGTTCGATAAGTTGGATGGGTAGCAGTATCAGTTTACCTGGTGTTCGCGGGGTAGAGTAGCCAAAATTTGTTCCAGGTCATCGATGACCATGTACCGCTGCCCACAAAATGGCCGCCGTTTGTTTGCACACGTGCGTACGGTAATACGAATGGCGGCCACACAGGGGAAACACTTTCTTTAACAAGCAATATGCGGTTAACAGCCTGGGGTGGCTAAATGAACGTTGAAATACCCTTTTCATTCCCTTTGTTCGGCTGTCCGTATTCCCCGTTCGTTTACCAAACCCCCAACCGACCACCCCTGGCTGTTAACCGCAATTTGCTTGTTAAAGAAAGTGTTTCCCCGGCATACACAGTCTGATCCTTAACGGATCACTTTTCCAGTTCTGTTTGTCGAGATAACCTGTCAGCATTGCCATTCTGGTTGCTAATTATTAGTTCTTCCTACCACACCCAGACAAATGGCTTATGTGAAAGGTTCAATGGCACATTAAAATAGATGCTCCAAACTTTCACTGACACGAGTCGGGACTAGGAGAGATTCCTTCCACATCTCCTATTTGCTTACAGGGAAGTGCCGCAGGAATCTACAGGATTCTCACCCTTCGAACTACTGTTCAGATGGCGAGTACAGGGACCCTTGATTTAATCCAGGAACACTGGGAAGGAGCAGTAGGTGAGGATGATATCCCTGGTTTACCATATGTGCAGAAGTTCCGCGACCGCTTGGAGGAATTGACTCAGAATGTGCGTACTAACCTCCAGGTGGCACAAACTTGCCAGCACCGATGGTATGACAGAGGTGCCAGAGGACGTAGCTTTCAAATTGGCCAAAAAGTTTTGATTTTAAAACCTGTTCGCCACGACAAGCTACAGGCCGCCTGGCAGGACCCATACCAAATGGTAAAGCAGAGGTGCAACACCACTTATGTGATCGGTCCTTGCTCTGGTAGTGGGGGGAGAAGTATGCTCCATGTGAACATGCTCAAACCCTACTATGAGAGAACGGAGGATGTGGCCGCAATATGATTTTGAGAATCTTCCCTTACCAGACCTTCTGGCGGATGGTGATAAGATAAGCACTCTATATGAGGTTCAGCTGGGGGGAAAGGCTAAGTCCCCAAGAGTGCATCCAGGTACGGCAACTTCTAGCCACAAAGGGAGCAACGTTCTTAAACATACCTGGATACACTCTGCTGGCTACGCACCGAGCAGTCACCACCGAACAGCCACCCCTAAGACAGACTCCCTACAGAATCCCTGAGGCTGTCATGGAACACATGAGACAGGAGATACAGGAGATGCTCGGTCTCTGGGTCATAGAAGCGTCTGATAGTCCTTGGGCTTCTCCGGTGGTCTTGGTACAGAAGCGGGATGGCACTACCAGCTTTTGTGTAGACTACCGGAAACTTAATGACAAAACAGTATCAAACGCTTACCCCATGCCCAGGATAGACAAGCTCTTAGATCGGATGGCCAGAGGTCACTACCTCACGACCATCAATCTATGTAAGGGCTATTGGCAAATCCCCCTAGCCCCAGATGCCATTCCAAAGTCGGCCTTTGTCACCCCATTTGGCCTGCCAAGATTATGCATGTGCATACTTGGATAAAAAAAGCGATTTCTAGCAAGACTTGGGAAGAGCATTAGGGGCACATAGGAGCAGTGATAGACCGGATTAAAGAGGCCGGCCTAAACCTCAAACCGAGCAAATGTCATATTGGGATGGCGGAAGTTCAGTACTTGGGATACCCTCAAACAGGCCCTTGTTAATAGCCCTGTACTAGCCGCTCCTAACCCATCTAAATGATTTCTTGTTCACACAGATGCTTCAATGTTTGGATTGGGAACGGTATTGAGCCAGGTTGGAGAAGATGGCGGTGAACATCCCGTAGCTTACTTGAGCAAAAAACTTCTACCCATGGAAGTGAGCTACGCTGCCATAGAGAAAGAATGCCTGGCTGTGGTGTGGGCCCTAAAGGAACTCCAACCCCCTTTTTTTACGGACAGCAGTTCACCCTACTCATGGATCACAACACGTTGGTATGGCTAAACCCAGTGGTGGGGGACAATGCCTGGTTGTTATGCTGAAATTTGGCGTTACAACCGTATGACTTTACTATCCACTACCGCCCCAAGAAACAGAATGGCAATGCCGACGGGTTATCTCGACAAACTGAACTGGAAAAGTGATCTGTGAGTGCTCCCCGAACATCCACAACCCGATCCATTAAGGATCAGACTGTGTATGCCGCGGAAACACTTTCTTTAACAAGCAATTTGCGATTAACAGCCAGGGGTGGTCGGTTGTTAAATGATGCAAACCCATGGACCACACAGGTGGGGGTTCGGTAAATGAACGGGGGATACGGACAGCTGAACAAAGGGAATGAAAAGAGTATTACAACGTTCATTTAACCAACCCAGGCAAATTGCTTGTTAAAGAAAGTGTTTCCCCTGTGTGGCCACCATTCGTATTACCGAACGCACGTGTGCTAACAAATGGCGGCCATTTTGTCTCTTGAACGTGGGCAATGGTACATGGTCATCAACGACCTGGAACTAATTTTGGCTACTCTACCCAGCGAACACCAGGTAAACTGATACCGCTGCCCATCCAACTTCCCGAACCAGCAGGTGAACAGCATTCGGGAGACCTAAACTAACGAACAGGGGGAACATTCGTATCCTAGCAGCCAGAGGGAGCCTTCGTCGGCATTCGTGTGAGAACCCCCGACAGAAGACCGGTTGAGTCTAAATTTCTCTGGAACTGTTTTGGGGCTTCACCTCAAGGGCGACCGGTCAAAACTTAACTCGAATGGCGTTCCTGAACTACTGAACCGATCTGAGTGATTTTTGACAAAGTGGGCACTCAGATCCCAGCTATTCGGTGATGTAACTTTCGTGGGGTTCTGAAATATTAAAATGTGTTTTATAATGTTTGCAAATATTGTATATTTTCTGTACCTGAGAGATAATTGAATTAACGAGTTGTTCTTACTCAATTATCTTTCAGACACAAAGGAGGAGTCTGTGAACTGTTTACTTGTCCCTTGTCCCCTCTCAGGTCCATCGGGGAAATGCCCCTGGAATATGATTTAAGAAACCCCTTGCATGGAGAGTTGTATAAAAGCCAGCTGTGGCTGAATAAAAATCAGTTGACTCCCAGAACTGTGTGTCGTCCAGTTACTGGGGTTTTTTTTGCCTTGGATATTTTATTTCTTCCTCAGCTACAAGGAGTATACAGTGGAGATATTTATGCTGGGCATTGGAGCTCTGCTACAGTAATCACTGCTTTATATCTGGAAAGGCAGTGTTTACATTAAAAAGCATGCAGAGACACCAGAACAACTACCTTAAGCTGGTGACTACAGTGTCCCTTTAGCTATAAACAAGAAGGGCACCTAAAGAAAAGTGCTTAAATTTTTTTTTAAATTTGGAATTCTGACATATCAGTTTGTTGGGTCTATCATAGTTTTGTGTATTTTAGCAGTTCACACATTTACTATAAATGAATACCATTTGCCGAACAGGGTTTTACAAAGGGTGTGTTCTAAGCCTTGTCATGGAATTATATATTTTACATAAATTAGTTGTTTACATTTACAATGTATTTATGCATATACATGTATGAAGAATATACATTTGAATGCTATTGAATGGGATTAGCTCAAGTAAAACCAAACCAAATCAAAGATTAAAAAAATAATAATGCTCATTGTGTATTATGTTTGGAAATAAAACTTTTTAAAGGATTTAGTTTTTTAGACTTGAGTATGGTGAAAAAAAATTGGTTCAGCCAAATCAGTTTGTTGGTCAATTCTCAATTCATCCATGAGGCTTTTCGGTTTGAACTAAATTTTGCCCATCATAGAAATAGTGAATATTTTGTGAACAATGGGCTCTTAAATAAGTGGAGTGACAAATCCAAGCTGCTAACCTGTGTAAGTTCCTCCTTCCTTAACACAAAAAACATACAAATAGAAAAAACTGACTGGGCAAACAACCCACACAACTTAGTTTAGTGGAGCGTTAACATACACAATTAGCACTATAAAAAGGGGTAGAACATTTTCCTATAAAAGTAAAAAAACAGTATACAGTGCAATAATAAACACACATGCTGGTGATTTTTGGAAGCACTCACATGGAGCAGAGCCTCAATAGGGATCGACTCACGTCACACTAGCATGTGTGGACTTTGGTGACATTGCCCCTCTTCCAATTGAAGATCTTGCAGAGTAAATATACATCAAGAAAGGAGAAAACTAGTGCAGATAGTAAACATTGAGTTGGATATATATATGACATAGAAATCCCAGACCTGGCTCTAGATAAGCGAGTATTTGTGCCAGTAAAGGGGGTCACAAATCCTTGTTTGGTTGCTGTATCAGATAGATAGGAGGAGCCACAGGATGAGATAATTAAAAGTAATTGCCTTTATTGAAATAAAAACCAGCAAATAAAAGAAATGATATTAAAAAGAATGAAATCCCTAATAAAAAGTCCTCTTTGGTTTCCCCTGAGACGTGTTTCGCTGGTGTGTGATACCAATCGAAAAAGCCTAGGACTGTTTTTTCTGTTTTTCTGTTTGTGCTTCCTTGTAGTACATTTTTTGTTTACTACTGTTTTTAAAAATGTGGAGGATACACACAAAAAAAGAGCTGCATGGAATTTGCTGAAATTTAAAAAAAAATAAAAATGTTATTTACGTCTTAAGTCACCTGGCATGTGATATGACTATACACTCCTGTGCAGCAAAAAAAAAGGTTTTCATGCAGTAATCTATCACTTTAAATAGACTTAAATATTGTGACATAATAAGCATTTGTCCCTTTTCTGATTTCTTTGATACTTATCACACTCAATATCTTCAGATCGTCATACAAAATACAATATAAAAGAGGAGAACCTGACTAAACAAAAAATTATTAATTTGCGGTTTTATTATTTAAGGGGAAACATTATGTAACACTAACAAGCTCTGAGCTTTCTGAGTGACAGCCAGGGACATGTTTCTGCTCCCAGTTATAAAAGTTCTGATTTCTATTGAAATTGGCATTTTTATAAACAGTCAAAAAATGGGCAAGCTGAAGTGTTTGTGTGGGGTGTATTTTTTTTAGTGAGGCACTCATCATCTATTTGAATCATCATGCACTGGGCTACCTGTAACCTATGATGTAATCAAACACCCCTCAATGAGGTGATATGTTCAGTAAATGAATAGCTATTTCCCATGTATTTTAATAGGAGACCTGCAATTTATTTATACGTATTTGTTTGCATGAGAATCACGGAAGGCAGATATCCCCTAACTCTAAGTCCACCCCAATCCCTGCTACGCTTAACTTTATATCATCTCTCCCTCTATGTTTGAATCAGATTGTGAAAGGTTATAATTTTGTGCTTTTGTGTCATCTGCATGATGTCTATGGAATAAAGTGGTGTTAAAGTCCTGGCAATATGGATGGGTCATCGCTCTGTAGTGGCTATGGTGCCATGAGACACTGGCACCATTCCATGGTAAATATTTAAATTGTTTTGAATGGTTTAACACTTACCTAGGTCCTCTGGATACCCATGTTCCAGAGCCCTCTATTGATATCACTAAAGAGAATTTCCTGGCTAATTATGGCAGCATCACTTATGGGAAGCTCCTCCCTCACAGGACAGGAATTAATTAGATTAATTAATTAGACTGATGGGTATAAAGAGTCCCTCCTCCCCTTACACCTCAGTCTTTTTTCCTGTCCTTAGCAAGTTCTTCAAAATTCCCCTTGTTATTGGCTTGCCCCTAGTAATTAAGGTCTAAAATCCCCCCCCCCCTTACCTTGATGGCAGTTCTTTAGAATCCATACTGAAGGGGGTCCCCCTGGGGGATGACCCTGTACAGACCGGATGTGTTTGGCTGTCTGTTCGATCTCCTCCAGTGTAGACTGGTTTATATGGTGGTTCCCTGGGGTGTTTCCTGGGTGCTTGCTGGGAGTGTTTCTGCGGCAGCTGTGGGGGCACTCCACCGACTTCATATGGCTTCCTGGGGGTACCTCCGTTGTTGGCTGGAACGCAGTATGCAGTATGCGTTCCAGCAGTCGGAAGTGTAGTTGTGGCCGGATCCGGCAAACCCGGAAGTACTCTGCATCGTCCACAAGGTTTGGAACGCATGGCGTGTATTCCAGTGGTCTGCACATGCGCAGACTGGACGCGGCTCTATTTAAACTGCATGATACTGACACTCTACCTGTGCGCTGTGTCAGCTGTTCAGGCAATTGGATTTCAGTCCTGAGTTCTTTGACATTCCTCCTGTGTTGTTGTTTCTTGGCTGCCTGGAGTGTTTCC